TCCCTGTCTGCTCTGCGATTTTACCTCACGATGCCCCACTTCGCCTAACTATCTCTCTATATATGTACATATAGATATAAAATGTATTTATTTATACAAAACTACAAGTTTGTGTCAGCGGACTTCATTTGGATACCTGTTGCACAATTCCCTGACAGTCACATTGCAATGGCCACTAAGCGAAGCACCTCACTTAATGACCTCCCTCCTTGCTCTCCCCAATGCAAATGAAAGTGCTGGTCATTAAGTGACCACAGGAGGCTCTTGCAGGCCTAACACCGGCTCAAGGCTGCCTGCACCAGGCCTCCCAAGGTCTCTCCCAACACTGAGGCATCTGGTGCTCTGCTTCATGTCCCTTGGAGTTCCCCAGGCCTTGGCTAGCTCCCAGGCCTGCTGTTCAACTGGCAAGGGAACCTAAAGCTGGTCAGCAAAAGCAACCAGTACAAGGAGGGCAGTTACAGCGGGGGAGAGGCACTGCAGTGGTTGTATCTTTGAAACTGGGTACCTTTTGAAGGGTCTAACGTAATTTCAATTATAAATTAAGAACTACCGATACTCAAAAGCAATTTCCAGAGTGGTTAATGGGACCTATTCCTGCATCAATGAGTAATGGATTTCTTATTGCTGTATGAAATATTGCAGTAAGTCAAGCCAACAACTAGGCTTCATTCAGCTGTTTGTTCCCCTTTAGTCAAGGGAAATTCATTGGACCTTTCAAAAAAGTCAAGATCAAACCCTCCTCTGTTTTAAAGTAAATTATACATATATCAGAAAGAATCATGGCTTCAAATATTCAGTCAAACCACTTTCTTGATTCTTTTGGCTTCTCCTGAAAAGGCCCTTGTCTTTAATTCTCCTCATCTGTAGAGGAATATGAAGGCATATGGAATACGAACAGCAAGAATTGGCATTTTTGTTGGAATATTTTGTAGGAACATTGGCTTTAGAAAGTTGCATAAATGTCACCATTACATGTTTAAACCACACAGTCAATAGATACATACTAGGCTGACCTATGGATAACCTCAGCCTTTATTTTTGCTCCCAAGAAATTGAGTTTTGACAGAGGCATGTGGGAAACTACCAAATTAAAGAGTCTTATGATATACAGTGGAATAGTTCAAATCTCAAGAAAGCTACATGGATTAAAATGACATGCATTCTTAGAATATTTTTGTGGCAGGTATATTTAAGCTGAACCTTTAAAGAATTTTGTAAAACAAAACCATAATTTTTATCCATAACTATAAAATTGAGCTTAAGTACAAATGGGATTCTCTGAAGAAAGAAAATATATTAACTGGAATAGTCAAAAGAGCTTTCCTGTAATTCTGATTGAAAAAAACCTTAAACCAGAAATGGGGAGATTTTATCCTCTGCTTATGGCTGAAATATAGCTCTCAGCATCCAAAATCCTTGACACTGCTGGTTGGGATTGCATTTGAGGAGATATGAACTTTTCAACCCTGTTTTAGAATTAGCACAAATTTCATATCCGATAAGAGATATGTGCAGATTTGCAGATATGCATATTTTCAGTTGACTACAGGGAAAATCCATTTTAACTAGAGCTGACAGAAATAAGTCACTTAAAATGTTAAAAATGTTCTTTATAGGTAGCCCTTGACTTACAACCATTTGTTTAGCAATCAACAAAGTTACAATGGCACTGAAAAAAGTAACTTATGGCCATTCCTCGCAATTATGACTATTGCAGCATCCCCATGGTCATGTAATCAGAATTTGAGTTCTTGGCAACTGGCGTGTATTTACAACAGTTTCAGCATCCCGTGGTCACGTGATCACCATCTGCAACCTTACCAGCTGGCATCTGACAAGCAAAGTCAATGGAGGAAGATGGATTTGCTTAACATTCATGTGATTCCCTTAACAACTTTAAAAAACATAGCAAAAAACTCCCCATGACTCACTTAACAACTGCCTTGCTTAGCAATAAATAATAAAATAAATAAATAAAATGGTTTCATTTCTAAAATACAGTGTGCAAGATCATATAAAAAAGCAAGCGTCATGGTTTCGAGAGACAGAGATGACTAAAGCAGAACTCCGAGACTTGCAAATTCCTCAAAGAACATGTTTATTAGTTACAAAGTATCGGCACGTCAAAAGTGAAACCAAGTCTGGAGACACACATAACAATTCCCCAATACAAAGTTTAAAAAGCTCATCCCTAAAACTATGCAAGCAACTATGTTCTCCAATACATCTTCTCGGCGGGCTTTTTACGCAACACCCAGCCTGCAGTATTAGGAGCAGCCGATGACCTTGGTTCCCACGGGATAAAAGATTATTTTGACTAGTGAAGCACCTGGGCAAACCCCTCCCTCCGTTTTATGTGGCAATCTAAAATGAAAAGGAACATGGCTCCATCCCATGTAGAGGGATGAATTCTTGGATGCAAATGGCTGTCTGCTGCTCAACCATGACTGACTTTAAAGAAACTTTGACCATGCGGAAATTCCTGCCACAACTGGCCTTTCGGTTTTCCTCTACCTGGTGTGGTTGTTCAGAGGATATGTGTGGTTAAAGAAAAAAAAAGCAGCTTTGAAAATGGCTTTTGCTACTAAGTAATGGACCAATGCTATCTAAGTAAGAAACAGCAATTTAGTGGGTCTTCTCTGCCATGGCTTCCATGCTCTTTTGTTGGACTACAATAAAATAGGATTGAGCTGAATTTGGGAAAGGAACTGACTGGAGCACCTGAATGAAAAGTTGGGATATACTGTAAATCAATCATGAAGAAATTCCAGGTCTTTAATACTAAAAAATAAAAAATTCCCCAATAAAGACCCAAAGCAACACAATGTTTTTTTTAATGGCATGTCAAATTGTTAGTAATTTTCTGTGTGAGAGAATGATGACATTTTGTGTGTGATCAGTGAGAGGATAAGCAAATGTGCCTTCAGATAGCTGTCTAAACTGTAAAAGAAATACTGTAGTTGTTATGAAAGTAACAACACAGTACAGACACACTTAATGTATCAGAACTTTTGCCTTGCACTAGACAAGAGATAAATCTCATGCAATGCTTCTGAGAATTGCAAAGGATCATATAAATAAAAAACACTTCCAAAATAGCTTTCCTTTGGTTTAAAGGTAGCATTCTGAATTAAACTGGTACTTTCAAGGAACCAAGAAGAGCTGAAGTTATTGAGTACTTTGGCAGTATGTGCATAATGAATTTCCTGAGTTCACCCAATGGACTAGATTAAACCTGAGCTAGGTTCAACTACTACTTTTTTCTGTATCTCAGTGGAATATCCAAGCAGGATTGGCACTTGGGGGAAAGACTACCTTGGAATTCCAGAACTGTTGATTGGACAGGAAGTCAAAACAAATATCATAGAAGAGGACAAACAATTTCTGTTCCTGACAAGAAAACTGCATAGAAGCGGCCAGGGGAATCTTCTGAGTGAAGCTTGACTCAAAGGAGACTTTACCTTTTAATTAGTGGTTCAAGATGTCCATGAGGTTTGTTTGGTTTTCATCTTGATATATTATATGAATGAACTCATGCAGTATATTTAGAAAAACTACCTGAAGCAAAAGGATAGGGCCAGACATGATCTTTGTTGTCCATTGCTGTTCCTCATTTGCAATTTTTTTTTCCTGAGGGAAGTTAGTCCAGATGTCATTATTTCTCATTTGCAATTTTCTCCATTGATTTTCATATGCCACAAAAAAAAAAGGAAGTCACAGTAGCTGTGTCAACTCTGCAATGAACCTGATTGAAGCCATTCTGGCTCATTTTCGGTTGCCATCAGACTGGGAGGAGAGTGGTGGCATTTTTGTGCTAGCCTAAACAATTCTCTGTCCTGTGGGAACCAAGGTCATTTCTGTTCATTAGACTGGGTGGCTGAGCCTAATATTAAAAAGCCCGCCAAATTATTCTACTGGGGAACGTAGTTGATTGCATAGTACTGGGATGGGAAGTTTAACTTTGTAATACTGTAAATATTTGGAGGGAACTTTAGTCTTGGTTTCACTTTTGACCGTGCTGATACTTTGTAACCAATAAACATGTTCTCAAGCCTCGGAGTTCTGCTTTAATTGGTCTCATCTATTGGAACTGTGACAAGCTGTATTGACTGGTAGAGTCTCCTTCAGTTGTAAGCAAATGACATTTCCACAGCTGAAGCCGAACTTTTCCAATTTCTTCTCTGCCTCCTTTGCATAGATACCTGGCTGGAAACTAGGCCTATTTTAAAACTGCAAACAATCCTGTTCTGCTGCAGTTTCTTTGTAAAGCAATATGACCAAATAAAAGTATAACAACATTATTTGCATGTAATTTAAAAGCCTTTTCAGAATTTAAATGCCTTTATTTGTCAGAGGTTAGCTTCACAGTACAGGTTGTCTGTTCTGAAATTTAAGATATAATTCTGAACTGCATATAATTCTGGACGAGGTAAGAATGCACTCCAGATTTTAGAAGTTCCTGATTTTTACTTGTTCTTCCTAACCCATGCTTACTGTACACGCATCACCAAGTCTTCCTCTTCAGTGTTTAATCAAGTGCAGTGTAAATAATTGAACTTTTGCAACCAATGACCATCCAGGTTGTAAAAAACTTCCTAATGTATCAGTATGTGTTTCCACAGTTACTTAGCATACATCTGCACTGCCAGATTGCCCCATCACGAGTATGGGCTGCCAACCTTTTCTAGAGGATAGTTAAAAGACTTCACCTTCTATTTATCCATAGCCACTTGCCAATGTGACTTCTGCCATGGTTTGGTGATACCTGGTGTACAAATGTATCAAATCTAACATCTGCTACACATACAATGAATATGAAGCTCTATTTACTAGCAGAAAAAAACCTGTTGTGTAGCAAGTTCTGGAAACCCCAGTATAGGTTCTGAAGACAGAATTTCAAGAAGCTAAACAAATAGGAAATCCAGCTACTACAAGACTATTTTCATTACAATTCTTCAAATATGAATAATGATGAAAGGATACACACAGCATATATTATATACTTATTGAAAAAAACTTTATTAGTGGCTTAGCGTGTAGTGTATTTTGAAACTTTCTAACAGCCAGACCTGTTTTATTATACAAGTTACACAAGTCAAGAAGAATGGGCTCACTAATCTTAATTTCAGTATGAAATTAATATAGTATTTTTCATTAGATGAACCTTTCATGATCCCTATATTCCCTCTCATAGGATCACTTCGCTTTAATTTTAACCTAGTCACTTTGTACATCGCTAAATAGTCTATCTTTTTGACATTGCTATATTTTGTTCTTAGAAATCTACCTAGTCTATCCAAATAAACATGACACTAGCTCAAATCTATTATCCTTCATTTGAAAACGTTCAATTGATTTGTCTCCAACAAGGATTCTAAGTATTTTTTCTTAATGTAGGCAGGTTTTCAACATAGAAGGGGACTTCTGCAAATAATATTACTCTACAATTATTTATAATGGCCCCAAATTTTTCTAAAAAGTCCTCAGCCTTCAGTGTAAACATTTTTATATTTGATCTTAAGAATTTACAATTACAAAGAGATATTTAAAAGTTGCTTTTCTCATTCTTACATCTGTTTGTTGGATTTGACTACTGTCAAATTCTTATTTCATGGAGTTCTGTGTAAAAACTGTGAATGGAATTTGCACTTTGAGTAAGGAAACAGTTGGGTGTAAGAAAATTACACAACAATGCTCCAACATTCTCATTTTTAGATAGTAAAATTGGGATGCTATTTCAATTACTAGAGGATACTATAAAAATAATAATTCATTTCAGGTCCAGCATCCCTTTGCTTTTTCAAACATCTTACAGCTGCCTGTATGAGGTGCTACAAGACTAGTTCTCCCACGTTACAAAATATTTTTTACTCTGGACAGTAGATTAGTGTAGACAGTAGTCCACCCAATACCCACAGACCTGTTACCCAGATCATATTTTTCATTATAACTAAGGCATAGAGTGATATAGGTCAGAGGTCCCCAACCTTTTGAGCACCAGTTCTGTGGAGAAAGGTTTTTCCACGGACTGGAGAGTGTGTGGTTTTGTGTGCTGCCTGCATTCCATGGATGGGGCTTTGCTTGTTTGTGCGGACCGGTTGTTGGCATGCCGCGGCCCGGTACTGGTTCATGGCCCGGGGACTGGGGACCTCTGATATAGGTGTTGCTCCAAAGGCAACCTTAAAGAAATGCATTGTGAGATCATGTCTACGAAAACTATTTTGTACAGACAGCTGCAGTAACCACCTCAGTTTACATAGCTCTGAGAAATCCTCAGAGATTTTTTTACAGACCATCTGGGCAATGAATGAGTGGCAGAAGCATGCAGAGGAGAACGATGGAGAGAGTCCTGGTTCATCTTCCATCTCAAGAGGCAAGTCTTAGTCCTGCTGCTGCCTAATTAGGTAGCAAGTCTTCCTAGGATGTCCCTGGACAGCTGTCAATCTCTCATTCTCCATTCACACTCTAGCCTTTGGACAGACTGAATATCATGCCATAGTTTCTGTTTGAAACATCAAGAAAAATGGGAAAAGGGGAGTTGGTCTTACCTGAACACCTTTTCTCAGGGCGCACGCTGTGGTAGATTCGCGCGATCCTGGGTTCAGCTACCTTCCGGAGCCTACCCCCCCCCAAGCTGTCTAGTTGCAGGGAATCTTTTTAAAAAGGCTCCCGTTGATCGCTGCGGCTTTGAAAATGGTGGCTGCGGCCCGTTTTCTTCCGAAAATGGGCTCCGTGGCCTTCTGGCAATTTTTAGTGCCCGGGGGGATCGTGGGTGCAGTGCTGGTTGTGCGCTGCGATTTCACCACTTTAGGGTCTAATTTGGGCGAAAAACAGCCTTTGTTGCCTGAAAACGGCAACCAAGATGGCGCCCGTGGTTGCCCTGGCTGCTGGAGTGAGCTCTGGCGATCCAGATTCAAATTTTGAAACCAAGTCTGGAGCTTGCTATTTTCCCCCAAACTGGGAGAAAAACTGGGAGGCTGGGGAGAAAGGCACAGCAAGTAGTCTCTGCTGATGCCTTCTCCCCCCCCCCAGAGCCCTGGGAATGGGATGGGAAGCTGAAGGAAATTCCCCCCCCCACCTTTTAATTAGTTTGAGATCACAAATGATCTCAGTACCTGTGGGGAATTTGTTAAGGGAGAGTAACCAATTTAAGTTAGCCAATAATTTAGGGAGAATCCACCAATGAATTGTCTCTGACTAACCTGAAATATCTGAGAGCCAAGCCAAAACGAGTCTTCAAGAGCTAAGACCAAGTTAAGAAAACCCATTGGTGGATTCTCCATCTCCTGTACTGGAGAAAAGAGCCATCCTCACATGTAGAACCCTTTAGCAAGGAAAAGATACCCCCCCCCCCAAACAATACATTTGATCACCAGAAAGCAGACCTGCTTCTCAGTCATCCATTTTTGGAAGTGTGGCATCAACCTTCCCTAAAATCTGGGACAGATCTTAAAATCTGACAAACAAGTCTCAGCTCTCATTTAAAAACAAAAATAAAAAAACCTTCCCCTTGGTACAAGACAACAAAGAAATGCTTTTTTTTTTTTTTTCAAAAGCAGAATCCCTTTAGTCAGCCTCAGCCTCAAAAATGTGCTTCTTGTAGAAGCTGATCTTTTAGGTTCTTTTTATTCCACATTAAGGTATTTGGCCACAAGAAAGTTGCAACTTACAGCCTTCCTTCTGCTCTTTACTAGTGACAATGAAAATTTCAGGGATGAAATAGCCAGACAACAACACCATTATATCCCACTGATTTCGGTGTGAGGATTAAAGGCATCTGCATATACACAACATGCTCCCAAACATTAATAAAACATAAGGCATAGACAGTTATTTCTCACTGTTATTTTGATATGGTTCTCATTGTTATTGGCATTGTAATGTAAGCTAAAATTGTTTCATTCTTTGCCCAGAAAATGTGTGTCCCAAAGCAAAGTGATGGGGGAATGATTATTAACTGAAATCCATTTGGGGTGAGGGGGAAAAGAGAAAGCTTTAGGCTCTAAATGAAAAGGCAATGGATCACTTATGAAGCTTAAAGAAGTGGAAAGGATTTGTGTTAGGACTGTCATAAAAGCATCGACTGATGAATGGCTAATTGGGATGACCTAAATGACTTGTCCGAATATTTTTCAACTCCCAATGTGAGCTCCTTATGTTATTCTTTATAAAAAAAAAAGGAAAAAGAAAAAAAGCTAGCCCAGGGAATTTGTGTAGGCTGGACACTGGTGAATAAGCACAATAACCCATTAGTGAGTAAGAACTTGTAAAAGTTGTTATTCTCTTTGCTTCAAAGGCTGTCAACAATGCTGCCAATAGCTTCGTTAACTAGGCATTCACCTAGCACTAAATTTATCTTGGTGGGATTCTGTTCAGACCACGGAGTGATCACTGCTGTGCACACCAGCCAAAATGGTGTGATTCAGCGAGGAGGCTGAGCGGTCAGAGCCTTCTGTGGGTCCGTTGGCGCTGTCACTGCGCTGGCAGCAAAGAATCTGCTTGAAGGTGGCACTCATTTCTTTGTCCCGGTAAGAGTAGATGATGGGGTTCATGGCAGAGTTGAATTCGGCAAGCAGCAAGAAGAACTTTTCATATGCTAGGACGTCGCACTGTGGGCAGCAAACGTCAAGAAGGAGCAGAACTAATCCTGGTGTCCAGCAGATTATAAAAGCACCTGGATAGGACAAATAAAAATACATTTGGTCTTCTAGATATTATATAATTATTATGTAACTATTATATAGTATACAGTAATAATAATATAAGGTAGCAATAGCACTTAGACTTATATACCACTTCACAGTGCTTTACAGCCCTCTCTAAGCGGTTTACAAAATCAGCATATTGCCCCCCAACAATCTGGGTTCTCATGTTACCGGCCTCGGAAGGATGGAAGGCTGAGTCAACTTTGAGGCAGTCAGGATCGAACTGCTGGCAGTCAGCAGAGTTAGCCTGCAATACTGCATTCAAACCACTGTACCACCACAGCTCAAGATGCTATATAATATTGCCTAGATCAGAGGTCCCCAAACTTGGTCACTTTATGACTTGTGGACTTCAACTGGCTGAGAAATTCTCCTGAGGAATGCTGGCTGAGGAATTCTGGGAGTTGGAATCCACAAGTCATAAAGTGGCAAGGTTGGAGATCTCTGGTCTAGATATTATATATTCTATCACACACTTTTTTGAAGATGCTTTGCAGCATGTACTCATTTATCCACTGAATGCCTCTGTGAACTGGACTAGGCTTGATTAGTCTAATTTAGACTAATTTGTCTAATTTATGAGGTTGCTAGGGGTCAGAAAGAACTTACTGGCACAGAAGGGTGATGTTCAGAATGAAGCAAGGGGATGAATCTAGATTTATTCCTCTCTATATCATAGTGATTCTCAACATTTGGTTTGCTTTCTAAATTTGTATTCACCCAAGGATCCTTATTTTCAAAGAATTAGACAAAAAAATGACATATTTATTTATGAAGCTGAATTTGGATTAACTTTAGCAGATTAACCAATTACCTTCCAAAGTTTTAAAAAGTAACTAATACAACAAGTAGATTGGATATATGTTTTGAATCAATTAATTCTGTAATCCCAGCATTATTATTATAAAGTTTCTATACTGTACCTTGTGCCTGCTAACTTTGTTCCTCAATTGTATCATACCTCCCAAACGGGAACACAAAGATTGTCTGCAACTAATTATCTGTACACTGAGGGCAGAGATTGGCCCCTTGTACATCTGCTGAGAAGCACAAATGATCCTGTTGTCAGCTTCTTAAATCTAATATAACTTTCCTTGAATAGCTCCAGTTCATTTAAGAAATTGCCAACAGCTGTGATGTTTGCACTCAGACATACTTCAAATTATCTTTTCTCCTTCAAATCCTGTTCACTGCACAACCTATTGAAAAGTATACCGTAGATACCTTTGCAGAATAACCTTAGTTTGCAAGAGGTTTGTTTGCCTGGTGTATTTTATCCTTTTTGTAACATTTCAATGACTCTTCTTTCCTTCCTATCCAATTGTTGTTTTGTCTCACCTCACTGCCATCAAGTTTGTTTTATTATACCAATTTATATGGCTGCCCAAATCAAATTCATGACTCTGAGTGACTAACAGTAATTATACAAACAAGAACACACATATTATTTGCAGCTGAGGTTAAAAAAAAAATCAAACCCCTCAACAACAAATCAGCACAAGTGTTGTACTAGCTCTGCTACACAACAGATCCCCCCAAGCCTGGTATATTTTGCTCTCCTACTTCTCTTCTTCTCCTTTTCAATGCTAGATTCATCTTTTACCCATCTTTTGGGAACTAATATCTTCCATTCAGTTCATCTTCCTATCTACAAATATGCATTGTTTTAATAGTAATCTTAATAATTTGGAAAAAGTTTTATAACCAAAAGTGCAATTCATATTGAAATAGCTCATAATAATAATAAGGTTATTGCCCACTATTTTTAAAGTAAATGAATATTCTACTGTATATAAAATTAAAAGCATGTATCCTGGCCAGAGATGCCTTCAGCAAACCAAAGTGGTGCCAAAGTGTGAATTATAACATCACAATGCAAGCACCACCATTTACATACGTTAATGCAGTGTCACACAAGTATAAAAGTATCAAAATTTTGCATTGTAACACTGAAACACAGGCTCCATTGCTTTTTTTCTTAATGCACATAAAAAAGGAGTCAAATTTGTATGTGATGACATAATGCAGTTTTCCATCCCATAGCCCAGGGGTGTCAAACTGCTGGCCCATGGGCCAGATGCATCATAGCAAAACCGCTCCTACCCCATTGCTGGCAATGGCAAAAAAGTCGTGACACATCACGTTGTGAGTTTGACACCCCTGCCATAGCCCATCCCTTATGGATGCCATAGTCAGAGCTAATATACAGTCATATGAATTTAGAGCCAAGGGCTTAAGCTACAATTTAGCCAACTCTAGTTAACCAATTCCATAGTGATTTTGCCCCTCCTTTCTGGGTAGCTGTTTAAAGTAATTCGGAGAACAGCCTAAGATGTATAAATATTCATGTCTTGAACCTTACTAGTCCTTATTTAGGTATCTGAAAAGAATGAGAATGAAGAAAGCAAGGTTCTCTCCCCAAACTTCAAAATTATAACAGGCCTATCAGCAAAAAAAATCCAAGCACTGAAGAACTAGGTGAATTGTTTTAAATCTTTCACTTTTCCTCCAGGTTTGAAATAACTTTATTTTCCTTCTGCGGTGCACGGCATTTAAGTTGTCTGTCTAATCTCTCTAGCTGTGCTGCTTATTGATTCCTTGTTCAGATCAAGTCTGAATCAGGGGAAATCAGGAGATCCAGACAGTTGAAATGAGTATAAGCTTAAGCTCTCTACAAGAATTTGACCAACTGGCCATTAAGGGAAAGAGAGGCATTCAAGATGGGCTGGGCCTAGATCTCTTGTGAAGGTGCAGGGACTCTGTGAGTTATGATGCATTTGATCCCTCTTTCGGGCTCAGCCTAGTCATCTCCTACAAAGCCATTTTTGTTGTTGCTGCTGTTACTATTTTAATTAATTAAAAGCATTGATTTTCCCTGCTTTCATGTTCAGAAGGAGGAAAGGAAATATATGGGAATGTGGAATGCTTTAGAATGGTGGACTCACAGTGGTATGTGTCTTGGAAGAGGCAGATAAATTGCAATAACCAAAATGAAATGTATAATGCTTGGGAGATGCTTAATCTGTTTGTTAAGAGAATTTTCCAAGTAGGCCTCAACTCATTATAATTTTAAATGACAATTTATCTTCTTCCCAGTACTGGATGCGTTAAAATAGCAGAGTTATTTGTAGGGATTTCAAGAACTGGATTTTAAAATTCTTAACTTCAGAGAACACTTTTCATATTCCTTTATTTATAAAAAAATCAGAAAATTATACTCTAGGGCAGATTCCCAGGATATATCTAAAAATATTTACTGTATGTTTAAGAAATCCAGTAATATATTCATACCACATTCCACTCAATAGACCTTAACTTCAGGAAGAGCGCTGGGTGTAGATATTATATATTCAGAAGCAACACACTGCCATAACACAAAAATAGAAATCCTTGATGTTTTCACATTGCATATTCTCATGAGATAAATCCACTAGTTTTCTTTTTTAATTACATTTAAATATATCACATTGTCCCTACTTGTTATTTTGAGCAAATTAACTTCACATCCCTTAATTTGCCAACAAAACTATATTAAAAAAAGAATACGCTGCTGCTATATATTGACATCTATCCATCCATCCATTTATCTGACAATTCAATGCTCTTGGCCAACATAAGAATGAAATAATCTTCTAATTGCATTGGCAACTGAATAAAACTTTGTCACATTTTTGGAAATTTCATTGTAAAAAAGACATCAAGGGGAAAAAAGAAACTCTAGTTTCAGAGAAATTCACACCATGAGTAAAAAGTGAGGTTCTGAGTTGGGTGTGCCAAGAGCAATAGAGAGGGCAATGAAATAAAATATGACCTACTGTACTGATTTGATTGTGGAGAAGAACAGATGCAGAACTATGTGTGTAAGAGATGTTACTGTATCTCCCACCCATGAGCAACTAACGTTAAGGTGCTGATCCTTGCTAACCTTAATGCTTTGTATGTGTAACAGAAGTCATTCCATGGAGATAATTGAGGAGACGGATTTATAGAAAACCAACAGACTAATATAAATTGTGTGATAGAGAATACATTTTCTTACTGTACTCTGAAAGGTATCTCTCTGGACTGCTCTGTTTAACCCAAACCATAATTAACCCTGAGCTTAATACTGCAGTTTGGCCAATACTATACCTGGGGTAAGTAACAGGTTCTTGGCAAAATTCTTAACACTCAAACAGGATCAGTACCTATTTAGTGGGTGGATGAAGCATCGTTAGTGTAATACAAAACAAAACAAAACAAAAACATGGTACATTTAAAGGCTCTGACCCAGAGCAGCAATTTCTGTTTCAATTTTAGTCAATATAAAATTTTAATTCCACTTACATTTAGTGTCTGAAATATTTTACATGACTTAAATTTTACATGACTTTTTTTTTTTTTTTTTTGGTTAACAAACAGGAGTTGCTGATGCACAGAACTTTCAAGATGACCAGAAGTTTTAAAAGAGGATGGGAAAGCTTTTCAGAGATAGTTAAAGTCAGAAAGATATGTGAAGTTAATGGAAGGGATGAGTCCCAGCTGTTGTCAAAACAATTTGAAATATTTATTGTTAGGAAACACACAAAGCTGCCCCTATGGATCTTATCATTGCTGAAGGCCAAAAATAAACAGGAAGTGTTTATATTTTTCTCTTCTTTTATCAATGAGGCAACAGCTCTGTGCTAGGGAACATACAGTTTGTAAAAAGAGATGTGGCAGCAAACATTTGGCTGAAATGACTAGAACTGAAAAACCAGATGCCGCAGGGTTAAAACAAACTTTACATTAAAACTATGAGTTTTAATGCCTTTTTTTGAGGGAAGAGTAATGGGTTATTGTTTCTCTCTTGTATCAGGATTGTGTCTGTATTACTTAGATGAAATTTCCCCAATTTGATAACCTTCACTTCTTAGACTTAAATGATCATTCCAAAGCCAGCATGGCTAGAAAACTGTGGGAATTCAGTTCTAATATAGTTAGAAAACAG